TAATAATAATAATAATAATAATAATAATAATAATAATAATAATAATAGATTGGCGCTTACACATATGTATGTCAGTGTTTCGCCGAGCTTCTCCTCCGATTTGTGGCGTGTGCCTTGATGTTGTCACACAAAGGGGAGGGACCTACAGTTTTACGCCGACTCCAAACGGCGATTACATTTTTATGAGAAGCTGTTTTTCATGGCAGAAATAGACTCGGAGGTTTGCCATTGCCTGCCGATGGGCGACCGCTGTTAAGAAAACCCCCAGGCCCTGCGGAGTGGAAGCGCACACTGCTTACCACTACACCACAGCGGCCGCCAATGACAATGATTGGGATGCGGATAAAAAACTTGCACGCAAATGCAGCAATAACGATAGTGCGATTCATAAAACGCTGGTTATCGAAGATCGAAAGTGAAATTCATATTATGAGCTATGCAACCGTGTCGAAAATTTTCGTTGAGTATCGAATTTTCTGTCGAACAGAATTTTGCTTTCGATGCTGTAGCGAAGTGTTAGAAAATTGTGAAAAATGTATGAATTTGCGTTTGTTTTCTTACTTTTTGGCGGTTAGACACTAATTTTAAAAAATTTTTATTAATTTCATGCAGGTCTAACGTCGTTAATACTAAACACAAGCTGGAAATCCCCAGAAACTCCCAATACTTAGTTGGACGATCTCTGAGAACAAAATCGTAGAGCTGTTGGTAGTTTTAAAATATTTTAAATAGATTTGGCTCGAGAGCATTGCTGCAGCAGGTTTTGTGTAGCGGACAGCAGGTATTCAAACGCCCAGGGTTTAAAATTGCTTGACTATTTTCAATGCTTTTGCAATTGCTTAGCTGCAACTATGAAAAATAAATCAGCGAAAGCAGATAGCAAAAGCGAAAAAGAGACTTGATAAAATTTGCTTTTGCTTACAGCGCAGTTTATTTTTGATTAAAGTGTGTTTGCATTGTTAAACTTTGCATTCAACATTTGCGTTCAACTCAGCGCAGGGTTGCACGAAAAAAAAGTTGAAGGGCTAAAAATATCAAGATATGAAAAAATATCAAAATATTCGCCATAAAAAGGTGTTTTCATTGTTCAACTTTGCATTCAACTTATGGTTGAACGGAATTTCAACTAATCGCTTTCAACAAAGTTGGTCGCCAGCCAAATTTTGCCATTCAACTTTTTTTCGTGCAACCCTGCGTTGAGTTGAACGCAAATGTTGAACGCAAAGTTGAACAATGCAAACACTGCTTTAGACAGTCAGCCGAAGCAACCAGCTTAGAAAAATTACTGTTGCTGCAAGCAGTAAGTTTGATGAATTCTTATTTTTACGTTTGTTTATTTTCTTTCTTCGTTATTCTCCATAAGTACATACATATCTTCATCAGCGTACCAACGAAGTACGTTTGGTTTTTTCATACATACATACATACCCTGTGGGGAAAATTTCTAGTTCTGAACTGGTGCGCTTCTAGTACATTTAGACCCAGTACTGGTTCGCGATAAATCTCTTTTGCATGCAAGCAACTGGCGAATTTAACATGGCGATGTCCTAGGAAGTGTCAATTGCCCCCCGCTGCATCCCTTTTTCGATAGTTCCGAACTAGTCCTAAATTCTATAGTACCAGTTCTAAAATCGACAGACGAAAGAAAACAGTTTCATGATTTTGCAATCCTTTTGGTTCTACCGTGTGTGCGATTTTAAGTTATTTTGGAAGAAATGTGTTTTCAATTTGAAATTAAATTTGTTTGAATGATTGTAAGAAAGGTATGTTTACATACCTTTAGCTGTAGCTGCCCTGTAGGGAAAACACGAACTAGTGAACCAAATTTCTAGTTCAGTACTAGTTCTTTTTCGCCAAAAACGAACCAGTCCGATAGTAACTAGTGCCGCACGAGTCCAAAAGCAGTGAAATGTGGTACTTTCACTAAACTATTTTATTTCAAATTTTAAACGCAGGGAAGGTAATCATTATGATTAAAATAATTTAAATCAGCATTTAATCATTATTTTATGAATTATTATTGAGTTTATTTTTTCGCTCAAACGGAAATAATTATTATTTGATTTTTATTTTTGGGATTACAAATAATGATTATTTTATGATTTTTATTTTTTCGCGCAGAGATTATCATTAATTTTGAGTTTTATTTTTCCACTTAAAAATAATGATATATTATAAAATTGAAAAGGCCATACAGACGCAACGTACTGAAATTTTGACCTGAAAAGTTTGGGTCTTATTCCTCTTATAAAGGTGCGGCTACCTCTCAAAAGGATACGTCGGTAATCACGCTGGTAAAGTTTTTGAGTTGCTTAATAATCATTATAAATACTTAGTGATTCCATAAACAAAGGCC